TRCCTTGACTGACATGGTATCCCCAAAGCTTTTTACCTGCAACTTTTTACTTTTAACACTAGAAATGTTCACAGCCCATAGGGCAGAGTCTAAAATTAGTAGGATGGCAATCCCAGGCAGGGAGAGTGAGTGTTCATTAGAGTAGTGCAAAAGGCCAATCCGAAAAGCCAAGCAGTGAAAGGAAGCTGGGTCAAGGTGACAACTATGCAAAAAAAACATACATTAGGCAAGGAGACATCCTCGTGCATCTTTGCTGAGTGAAAGTGTGGATTATGCCTTGGAGGAGGAGTGGAAACTTACGGGGTAATTTTTCTTCAACAGTTCCTTCACAAAACACTGGAGAAAGAYGGCATCTGAGTCCCAAATAGGCCACATTGATGCTCCTGACAGTGTTYGTCACAGAGCTTATCGATGGTTCAATTAGCACTGCATGAAATCTCTGCTTGCAAACTTGTCAGTCTTGCTTGTATTTTTAATGCCCACTGGCACAGCTCTGGGAAAAACTGCAGGAGCTGATGTAGATTTAGCAAGTGGATTAGCTATTGGGGACTCCCACAACAGTACGGTGGCATTTCAATCTGTTTTGATCTAAAGGGGATTCCTATTTCTTAAAAGAACAGATTGCTGTGTTAGTTAAGCTAGGTTGAGTTATGCACAGTTACTGAAATAATTAAATGCATATATAAAGTCCTGATTCTGAGAATCCCTGTGGGCTGTGTGCTGCTCAGCTTCAAGCCCTAAAAATATTATTTGCGAAGCYGCTGTTTTGCCAAAAAGACATTATGTCTGTCAGCACCGAGGCTGCATTTACTATATGCTGGGCATTAGACTAACAGCTCCCACTCTTCCTGGTTGCTGCTTCCATATAGTGAAGTCATGCTAGTCAGGTGGAGTTGGACAGAATAAACACGTTGCTTTAACGTGGCTCTGACAACACAAGAGGGGCTTTAGGGCCTTAGACCACTGTCCTGCACCATAGGGAAGGAATGCAGTGAATTATAGTGCCTCCTATTGTCTTGTACCATACACTGGAGACGGAACACATTTCTTGGCTGAAAGCTTCCAGACCTTTAGGTGTTCCTTTATTTCTTGTTTTGTTTTTGGGGGGGGAGGGTGGGAAACAAAAACAAAATTAAAAAGCAACATTCAAAGTTCCCATGTTTCCAATTTTTTGAAAGGAAAAAAAAAATCAGGTTCATGACAACTACTACCATTAGTGTTGTCATTCCAAGTGATCAAATCAGGAGCAGATACAGAGTATAAGTTCATCTTTTTACCCCCAAAGTTATCTGCAACCTTAACTCTCCTAGGCCACTTATTTTGCCTGCTGTTGTCATTGCAGTTTATCAGTGCTCCTGTGCAACGAGAAGTGATCAGAGGGCTTAGCGCTTTGTCCAGCTGCTCAGTCTCCATGTTTTGTGCCCTTTTCGGGCACTATGTTTTTTAGCTCAAGTTCTTTGTCAGCACAGTTGGTACTGTGACTAATTTGGCTAATTCTGGAAGAAAGGATTACGCTTGGATTTTGCATTGGTATTTTGAAGCTCAGTAGCAGGTTACAATGAACGAGTAGTCTGAGTTGTGCAGAGAGTTGGGTGGGATGACACCTTCTGGCCTTCAAATCAATGGATTCTGTTTCTTACCATATGCTTCAGGCTTAACTTCTGAGCCAGGCCAAGGCCTTTGAGATGATTGTGTATGCAGAGCACCACATACAGTGCCTCTGAATGTGGGCCTTGGATAAATGGGAAAGCTCCTCGTGGCCCTTTCACACAGTGATGTAGAGATGCTATTGGGACACTGCAGCATTGCCAAGTTTTCCTACATTAGTCAAATCTTACAACAGCTGTCATTTCCTTTCAAGTTGCAAATTGTTTTAAAGAAGAAACACGTCTGTTGTTTTTGAAAATGGGAAATTCTGCAAGGGCAGAATAAAGCTGGGAAAGGCTCCTGCCCTGGCTAGCCCCCGCCGTCACCCAAGAACCCTGCAAGTAAAGAGAAAGAAGCCACTGCTAACGTTTAACACCTTAAGCCCCTTAAGGAATTCTATAGGAAGCCGGTATTTAATACTGTGGTGCAGCACAGCAAGGCAGTCCAGTCTTTAGCTCCCAGATTTGATTTTTAAATTATTTCGTAAAGATTTTTCCTTGGGATTTGCAACTAACATAAAACTTAGTTAAAGAAAGACCAAACAGGAGAGGTCTGAATGACAAACAGCGCCCTGCAGTGCCYGTAGTGCGGCCCATGTGCTGGGCCCGTGCCTAAAAGTGACGCTGCCCGGCTGCCTGCTTGGCTGCCTGTTTGGGATGAGCTGGTATCCTTGCCCCAGGGGAAGGAAATGCCGGGAAGGAAGCCCCCTTCAGCAGGAGTGACCGGCCCGTGGAGCCCATGCAGCTCCCTCACCCCGGAAACACTAGTTATACAGAAAGAGCCCCTTTCCCCCCAAGCTTGCACGGTCACCCAGGCGGATTTGTTGCGCTGAGGGGAGCGTGTTTCTGCCGAGGCCTTGGCAAACAGTGCCAGGGCACTTGTGGCCTCAGGGGCTCTGTAGTGGGGCGAGCACGAGACCGCGGTGCCCCGAGAAGTGTGGGAAAGCAGCTGGAAACAGCCCGTTCCCACTCCAGCGCCGAGGCGAGAGGCAGCCGCCCCGCACCGAGCCCATCTCCCCACCTGGGCTGCAAGTGCAGGCAGGAGCAGCAGCACGGGGAGAGGGAAGAGCTGGAGTTTGCAAGGCAGAGGCGAGAGGAAGCGGTTATTTCTCGGGTCTGAGTCCCTTTCCGCAGCAGGCCGTGGGTCGGGGCTGCCCTTCATGGAGCWCTGGGCGTCCGCGCTCGGCGTGCGCAGGAGTGAGAGCAGCGTGACAYGGGCTGCCCCGCGAGGCGAGCAGTCCCCGCACGAGCACGTCACCGCCTCGCTTATCGACGCCTAGCAGCCTATTTCCATGCTATTTTTGTCCTTTATTGTCTACAAATATGCAAGGATTTCAGGAACAGCAGTGTCACTTTAAAACCCATCGGGAAGGCCAGAGAGCTTGATGTCTTATTTTCACCAGGCCATCTAATGCTCTTTTTACAAGTGAACCATATTGCTTCTACAGAATCAGAGCAAGTTTTTCTTTTTTTTTCTTTCCTTTAAGCATTTTTTAAAGGATTGAATAGTTGCAATTGTTAGAGAAAGGTGCTTAGATACTGGATTAGGAATTTGCAGGATCAAAGTAGCAGTTAAGATGCCAGGGAACTCATCCAAATCACAACATAGCAGATACTCTTTAGGGAATACTGTGCTGTTTTGTATACGGCACTCTGGGTTCCAAGTAACTTAAAACCCCAAGAATTGAAATGATTACAAATATCAGGCGAAATCTTTCAAGGTGTTGAGTCTCCACGACTCGCCTTGGGCTGGATACTCCTTTACACTGTGGCCCTTTATGCTCCGATGACAGTGGGAGAGGCAGTCGGCCCCAGTTAATGTCCCCGGGGCCCCTTTACAGGAGCAGCCAGTGGCAAAGTCGCTTGGGGGCAGTGGGGCTTTCAGCCTGTTTTTATGGCCATACCCATCACCTTCCAGGAGCAGGCCTGGGGAGGAGTGGACGTGGCAGGAAGGCTCCTTTATTTGTGATTTCAGTCACATAGGAAATACAGATGGCATGGGGGATGCACTTAGATTTTTAATTCAAAGCGTTTTTTGCTTTGAAAAAAGGTTCTTTGGGGAAAGGTTGGAAAAGGGCAACAAATCTGAAAACTTAATGACATGAGGGAACATTTTCTTTCCCCCTACCCCCGCATTTGCTAAGAGAGAAGTGATTCTTTTTCTCTTTATGGTATGAAATAATCATCATTCTGTTTCTGATGTAGTCATTCACCAAAACAAAAAGGAAAGATTATTTTTTTCTATTATACATAGTAGCAATAATCCTGTTGTAACCCCAGTGGGGTAAGGATAAAGGCAAAACAAGGCTTCTGAGGAGGAAGCAGTAGCTTTTATCTGTTTTATCTGTTATTAAACCACTTACATGTTTGGTAAAGAGACAAAGATAAGAAAATTAAATTTCTGCTAATTAAAAAGATACTTATGTGATCATTTCTTCAGTCTTAAAGCTTCTACAAATCTTTTTGCATAACAAACCAGCAGAAGCTCTTGATACTTACTGAATAATCTGTTCTGAATAAGTTGGTTTTGGAAGGTTGTTTTGTTGCTTTATTTTTGCCTCGAATGTGGATGACCCTGCTGTTGTAGAAGTTGGATATTGATTTTAGAGAGAACTCTGTAGAATTTAATGGGAGTATATATATATGAATGAAGGAAAGCTATTCAACTAGGGTTGTATACAAATGAATAATGATTAATAGCAAAAGAATTAGGGGAAAAAGAAGATTTGCTTTGATTACGTTAAATTTTAAAGTTGTCATAAAACTTGTGGGGAAAAGGAGTTTTATGTCTTATTTCTGTGGGTTTACTTTAAGTATAGGAAATGAAAGGATCTTGTTTCACTTGTACACTGATATATTCGCCTGTCCCTTATCTCTCTTGTCCCACGCATCTCTTCCTCCAGTTCACTCACAAATGTTCTCTGCTTCAAGGCAGATTTCAACCAGGTGTGATGGAGGGGTAGAGGTTGCAACGTGTCACCAATGCACATGCGCCAAGTCTTTGAATTAAATTATTTTCAGGCGCAGTGACTCCCTTGTGGTGGTCAAGGCAGCAGCCTGCGTCTTGCTGCCAGAATCCTACGCAGAAGAACAGAGAGGAAGGCGGACGGAGGCAGAGTTAAATACTGGCACAGCTGTGACTCACCGCCGCTTGACTGGGTCACGCTGCCTGACCCCCTGCTTTTCAGGGCTGACGTAAGGGTTGTCCCACTCGTAGAACCGCGTGGTGTGGCAGCCGGCCACACTCCCAACCTTGACTGCGATGCCCTTTCCAGAGACTGATTGTGGTTTTCGTATTACCTAACGGGCTTATCATTTCCTGTGCTAGTTGTAACACGGCTAAATATTTTCTAGGTTACCTAACCAAACTTCTGCAAAATCACACGGCCTATGCCTGCGACGGGGAGCGTTTGAGTCTGCACTGTCCTCGGCACTCAACGATAAGCATTCAGTCAGCATTTTATGGGCAGGATTACCATATGTGTAGTACCCAGCAGCCCRAAACCAGGATGACAGGACCCATAAACTGTGTGGCGCCCACCTCTCTGCAGGTATCATGTATTGTAAAGGTTCTTTGTGCAAAATGTTTTTGAAGGTTTCCATGTGATGAGCTAAACTGTATGAAAACTGTGAATGTTCACACTGTTGAATGAAATGACATCGTATTTCTGTCTTTTTCATGCAAAGTAGGAGAAAGAGTTCATCTGACGAGCAGGAGGTATCGATCACATTCCTTTCGATATTCCCATAGGCTTGCCAACAGCTCTGTAGTTTTCCTTCTGTTCTGATAAGCCTTCCTTTGGAAACCCCATTCTCAGTGCCGTTCAGTGTAATCATTTCCCTTCTAACCAAGGACTAGGTTGTGATGGAGCAGACTAAGCAGTCCATCGTATGGGTCTTCCATATCCCCAGGAGAGACATCTCGCTTCGCCTGCCTGGGTTACAAATGCACTGCATACCTGGTATTCTGGCATGCTTTTGGCTTGTTCAGTGCATCTCTTGACCATTAAATAGCAGATCTTTAGCACCTCTGCAGCCACGTTTCCATTAGTACAGACCTTTTATCAATATGTTATGGTTGGTTCCTCGGTCATAAACCTCATAAATTACTGTTTTCTGCAGTGGAGGCTTCTTGACAAGATCTGAGAAGATCTGCCTTACACTGTTGTCAAAAGCTTGTTTCGTCRTAGCAAAAAGGCCCAATCTAAAGCTCAGGTCAACGAATCATGGCAAGAATGGGAAGTCCATGGAATCTGAACATGTTGTGTCAGTGAAGCTGTTGTAAATGCTGTACAGAAGCATTGCTACCTTGAAACATTAGTAGGTGAAGCTGGCACGCTGTTTTTGACCACAGGGTACCTCTGTTCCTCCCACGAGTGACAAAGTGGTTTGGGTGTAATAGCCCTTCTCCAGAAACAGTGTAGGGCAGTTTTGTAAGTGTGGCTTGCACATGTTGCACTGCAGCTTCTAATGACCTTCCAGACACGACAGCCGTGCGAAAATAGAGCTCTCCATTAAAAACTGTAGGCCAGATGCATCCTTGATGTCATTTTACTGACTACAGTGGCGTGACACAATGATTATTTTGGGATTGCAAGTCTTGAATGACTTTGTGAAGTCTCCATGGCCAGTTTTTCCGCTGGGTATAATAAACACAGCATGGGATGACTGTTGTATAAACCATCATCCACACTGAGGCCCCGTGACTGATCAAAGACGTTGGGAGCTGTTTGACAAGGGCACAAATGTGAGAGAGAGGAAGGCCCTGCATCTCAGGGATTTCCGATTCTGCCAAGGAGAAGAGACAGATCCTGTAAACTGATTGCTTAGAAAAGAGCTCCAGTGATCTCATCCGCCTCCTCCCCTGCCCTCTGGAACTATATCTGCCATCTGCATAATCAGGCATGATGCTGTCCTGCAGGCAGGAGGGCGCTTTATACAGTGCCCTCCTGTTGAAGGGCTCGCAGCAAAGTTCGCTGTGGGCCGAGGTATCAGCAGCCCGGTGCTGTCTCGGTGTGGCCATTGTCGTTGGCTGTCGTGGCCGTGTGTTTTTGCACTGCAGCACCCGTAGAAAATGTGATTGCTCTTCGCATTAAGCAAAGGAAGGTACAGAGATGCACAGGAGATAGTTGAGCTCAGGTGCAAGTAGAAGGTGGTTCAGTAGGGGATGGCTCTCCCCACTCACTCACCATGTGACTTTATTTCCCTGGCCTGCTCTAGAACGATCCCAAATTAAGAAGAGGTTATTTGTTTGACCTGCAACAATTTAAAAGAAGAATTGACTGGTCAAATTAATTCTGTTTTGCTTCTTCTGCCCTTTTAAAGTCTTTAGTATCACTGAATCCTCAAAAAGTGGTGGATGCAAGTTCTCCTCTTCCACGGAGGGGAAGAAAAAGAGAGTGTTACAGGATCACTGCAGTGTGCTGCCAGTGTGCATCACTCCTGCTTGGGAAGGAGGGCTTCCAGGCATGAGAAAGGAGATTCCACCCCTGCCAACTTTCTGAGTCTGGAAATAGTGGAGCGTGTGCTAAGCACAGTGGTAAATTTCTGATTAGGCCTCTTGGCATGACTGAGACCCCTTCCGATGAGAAAACAGAAAATTTTCCCATGGATTTTATGGTGATACCCCAAACTATCAGAGAATGGTATCTTACAGTTACTGCAGTTATGTGCTTGCTGACCCACAGATGGACCCCATATGATGGTCCGCAGTGATCAAGTCGTCAAGAATCATGGGCACAATGCAAGTTATTCAGAAATAGYATATAGGAAGCCGTCTCTACACTGTTCAAACTAAATAGTAAACTGAAGTGAGATGAAAGGGTTACAAAGTCACCTCCTGCAGGGTGGATTACCACCCTTCAGCTGTCCTGTGAGTATCGCCAGGAAGATGTGCATGTGCCTCTGGCATACCCAGGAAAAGCCCCGAGGCTGAGGGTGCTCCCACGTATTTTGGACTCTGCACTGCATCCAGAGCTCCACTGAGGTGGTGGCCACATGGTGAGATTTGACTCCCAGGTTGGTGGCAGAGGGGAAAGTAGCAAAACTCAGCGCATTGATAAAATCCTCACTTGCCRTGGATACTGCTGCTCTGTATGTACATTCATAAACTCATCCAGTGCTCGAAGGCCAGAAGAGACGTGGCCTCAGTCCTATGGTGCAACTGTTACCTATGTTTTTGTGGCCAAAAAAAAAAAAAAAAAAGTGAAAGGGTGATTCCTGTCATGTGTAGAGCAAAGTATGATGAAGTGTACTCATTGCAGTGTAGCTTCATATCTTGTTTTCAAGACTATCCTTTTTGCCCATTGTTCTAGAAAGTACTGGACGAATGCCAGAACCTGAGATCCTGCCAACTCCTTGTCAATAGTCGGGTGTTTGGACCTGATCTATGTCCAGGAACCACCAAATTCCTCCTTGTCTCCTTTAAATGCAAACCTAGTAAGTAATCCACACGAGGCGAGTGTGTTTTTGTGTGTGTTTTGTTGTTTGTTTTGGTGAGAATGCCACTGCACAAGGCTTTGCATAAATCCATGTGAAGTTTTGAGGCTCTGAGATTAATGGCAAATTGTTTTCTTTTCTGTTTTACCTTTGCTTCCATTGTGCTTGCAGCTCCAGTGTGCTTGCTGCCAATTTAATGACCAGTGTAATCTGTCAGAATCAGATGTCAGACATCAGGCTAGGAAAGAAAAAAAATGTATAAAAAAAAAAGTATATTTATAGAGGTAAGGTAGAATAGGGGTAAATGTAAAACAGGGGTAAACTTCAAAAAAAAAAAAAAAAAGGTGCTTGCACTAAAGATTCAAATTATGAACATGATTATGCCTTAATAAGGAATATGCAAAAATGCCTAACAAGGTAGAACCAAACCTTAGAAACTTTCTAAGCCTGTGTCACTGCTCCACATTTCTAGAATAATCACTGGGGGATACACAYGCCTGGCTATTTTTATTATAGCATTACCTGTATTGTTTACAGGCAAGTGACTCTGATATATAAATAGACACATCCTGACTCAAAGATAATGCACTTTGGAAATGCAAGGAGAGTTTTTAGAAAGGTTCGACAGTCATGAGGAAGTTTCATTTACTGGTGGTTTTTAATTTTTTGTTGTTRCTGCTGCTGCTATTATACTTGAGAACAAGCTGCAGTTGCCCAGGCACTCAGCTTGCTTTGGCAGCTCATCGCCCATGTGCCAGAAATGGGTCCCAAAGAAAATATTTGAATGATGATTTATGGGTAGGTTCGCAAGCCAACTCAGAAATACCATCCCACAGCTGAAGGAGAAAGCACAAAAGGTATTTTCTTTAATCAGAGCATTAAGATTGACAGCATTGGTGGAATAGGAACCGGAGTGGCACAGCAAAATGCAGGGCCTATTTATGCAGAGTAATGAAGTAAAAGCAAAAGCACTGGAATGGTTCTCTCCTTTGGCAAAGCACTAGCACATGATTCCCCGAGAGATTTGCCGGGCGAATCTTCAGAAAAATAAAAATATGTCTAAAACTTAAGATGTTAATGATCTGTATTGTTTTACAGTTCACATTTTTTTCCAGGTTACAGTTACTGCACTGTTAATAGTGTATGTGTTTGCATAACATAGCAGCATCTGTGTGCTCAGAGATCTCTCTTTACTAATCAGTAGAAGGTTGTGATCCTCTTTGTTGCTTTCTTAAGCCACTTWATATTTTTCCCCATTGTGAATGAGCTATTTTCAGTATATAATATTGTGTGATATGAATTCTGCCCAAGTTGGTAAAAAGTATATTTGACAGCAAGTGCTGCCTCGCAACTGAGGGAGATGGCCAGTTCCCGTGCAAATTACACGGTCCCATGTGACAGGAATTCATATTCCTGAGTGTGTTACTAAGATTGCTAGGGCTAAGTGCAGAAACCATCCTCACTCAGGAAACCACTGGAGTGCAACTTCACATCTCCACTAGAATCCCCTTGCCTTCAAGCAGACGCTTTGGCGATTCCCTGAATCCCATCGTTTTCGCCACCATGGAGAGAGTTTGTGTTTGGTTGCTCCAGACAGCCTCCTCCTGCGGAAGCCTGTCTTGTGCTTACACCCTGTCTTGTGCTTACACCCTGCTTTGTGCTTACACCCTGCCTCGTGCTTGCACCCTGCCTTGTGCTTGTACCCTGCCTTGCCCTGCGCTGCAGAGGGAGCAGGCTGCAGCGCCTGACGTGTTCCTAAACAGTCGGAGTGCTGGGGAGCTCGGGTGGCAGTTCCATTAAGAACTAGGCATTTTTGTATTTGTTCTGTCCTGAGTGAACTAGTTATGTTTTCTTCGTGGAACAGATAGAGCTTCTCCTTTCTCTAGCCCCTTTAGCAGCGGCACGCGCGCTCCACTCACAGCAACACCAGCCGGTAACAATAAGATTTCCCTTTGTCCCTGCTCAGCTCAGGAGCCTCCTTTTCCTGTTTTCCCGTTGCTGAAAGCCGTGAAGCGGAGCAGGGTAAACTCTTTTACCTGGCCCTCGCTGCGTTGCAAGGGTTTGCCCTAGGTGGCATAAGCCAGAGGTGCCCCTGCCGCCCGAGGCCTTGTCCCGCTGAGGTACCCAGCTCCGTGCTGGGGGCAGTGCTGCTCTRGCTCCCCATTCCCAGGGCAGCACTTGGCAGGCCCGGCCCGCCCAGGGAAGCCCCCTGGCCCTGGGAGAGCAGTGCGGATGCCGCCCAGACCCTGCTGTGGCTCGAGGCGTCTTGCCCAGCCCCTGTGCTCCCCAGCCAGCCCCATGGCCACGGCAGCTCCCACAGCGGTTTAAAAGAGGTGCGGAAAGCAGCGTGGTCCTGGGCAGGGGCAAGAGGGAAGCACGAGGCTCCTCGGAGCCAGCGCCTGGGGAGAGCTGGCCAGGAAATGAGGCAGGAAGCAGAGAGGCTGTTCCACGGGAAGGGAGGCTGGCAAAAGTTAATTTTTTAATCCATTTTTAAAAGGGTCTGGAGGCTTTGGATGGTCATAAGGAAAACATTTAGCTGGAGGAAACACTCCACTTTGCTCTTGGCTTTGTCCCTGGTTGGGCCACATTTCACTCCCAGCAGAACTTACAGAAATGCTATTTTCTGTCATTTGCTGTAGCAGTCCGGCTGAGTAAGTCACCTCATGCTACCGTATTGTTGTTTGCTTCTATTGTAGCTGAATACAAAACCAAATCAGCGTGTGAAAACCAGGAACTGAAACTCCATTGTCAGGAGTCCAAGTTCCTTATCATCTACTCCGCCACCTACGGCAGATGGGCACGCGAAGAGAGCGTCTGCTCCACAGAGGTGGAGCGCGTCCCCCCGTTCGGTAGGTCCTTGCGCTCCTGGGGCGGCTTTCTCGGAGGGWTTGCTCAGAGGAGGGGGAAATAAAGACGGGGAGAAATCTTCAGGCACAAGAGCAGTGTCACTTTGGAAGTGCCAGTGGCTGAAACATAAGAATCGTTATTTTTAAGACTCAGATTGCCTGGTATGAGGGAGAAAAATAAGGTAAGAAATATAGCAAAGTATTAGCCTTTGCTGTAGTTAATCTGTTCTTCTATAATTAATTGTAAAAAAAAAAAAAAAAAAAAAAAAAAAAAAAAACAGTCCTGTTGGCTATCTTAAATTTAAACAGCTTGTACTAGATATCAACTCTTTGCCTTTCTTCTTCCTCCAGCTTCTGACAACTATTAGGCAACAAGTGCGTCATAACACCTTGTCTGCTCTAATCTCTATTTTTGCTGACTCTTGCCTTAAATTGAGTTTGTAAAGACAAACTCCTCAGATCAGGATCCATCACTTTAGACACTGCTATATGACCAGACTCCAAGACTACATTAAACTAGTAAATTAAATGTGCCTGGGACTTTTCTGCAGCACAAAGTCCGGCAGGCAGGAAATGGCCTGTGTATGTAGTATTAAACTGCCCTGCAGAGCAGAGTGACTGCCTGCAAAGGGCCTCCGGGGCTGCTCTCCTCTCCTGGGGCTGAACTGTGATGGGGAGGTGCTGGGAGGATACTGGTGGCCCAGGCCCARAAGGTGCAGATCCTGTGCTTAGCAGCACGGAGCAGGGAGTTACAGGGTCAGGAACACTCCCTGGCACTGCTCCTTACTAGTTCAGGTGTATCACAAAGGATCTGAATGCAAATAGTAGTAGGGATAGAAATAATAGCATGGATAGTAGTAGAGGCAACAGTAATAATAATAATAATAACAGTAATAATAATAACAAACTATAAACACTTTCGGTAACAGAACCTGAAACATTATAACTAGTTGCATGGTCTACATCAGTAGGCAGTTGTTGACTTCAGCTTACAGTCTGCTGATGCATTGCTGAGGGCTGACGACTCCGTTCTTATCACTAAGTATCTGCACTGGTAGTAGCATGAGGGTGCCWGATGTTTGTATGAATGTGTTCAGTGCTGACCCTGAAGACGCGGAGGTAAGTTCTGATGCCCTGAGGAAGGCCATCACCAGGTGCACGTGCTGTTCCCTTCCCTTAATACCACGTAGGGAAGCCCTTGTGTGGCGGATGCGCATCCCCACAAAGCTGAACTTGAGCTCCCTGCTGAGAATCACACTRCAAGGGGAATCTGTAAGGAGCAACTCTGAACATCAAGAAGAGATCAATAAGAAGTCTTAAAAGCCATTTGTCTGCAAGCCAATGTTTCTATTTAGTTTTATAGATATTATTAAAAATGTATTGTCTGAAAATTGTATTCTGTTCTTGTACAAGAATCTATTTAAAATGCTAATACCTAAAAGAAGGTAAAAGAGTCTTCAAGCAAATATGTCTTTTTTAAATTATTTTTTTGTAAAATCATGGATTACCCTGATTTATTCCATCAGGGATTTGGATCCTAGTTTTGTTTACATTTTAAGTAATTTTCCTTTCTTTCAGAGCTCTTCAAGTTCTTTAATACTTCAACTTCTAAGGTAGCATGTTATAAACCAGAGCTCGTGTGCAGTGATCCCGTGCTTTCCAACTCCTCCATGAGGTTTTGTGAGAGAACTAAAGATTGCATTTTTCATTATTTTGGGATGGATTTGGATTGCTAATCCAGCCTGGACATTGACAGGTCTGTGGTTGATACTATCTGACAAAACCCTTCACATGGACTTCCAATAACTCTCCTATTTGTTGTGTGGCAGAGACATTTTAGCAGATTTCTGAATGACTCAGACATCCTTCCCGATGATGATCTTAGTGCAACACTCAAAGGAGAGCACAGTCAGCTCAGAAGTCAGGTCCAGAAAGGCTACCACCGTATTAATTTCTTGCACTTTACTTATTTCTTGAAATTGCTCAGCTGCCTGAAATATCAGTGCTTATAGTTCACAGATCAAAAGGCAGCAAACCCTTCTTAATGGATAACCTGGAACAGCAACATACTCTCTGCTATGGCCAATGTATGTGCACCTTCTTGAGCAACAGCCTGGCACTTGCTGCTCTCTTGTTCTGTAATGCAATCTGTGGTAACAGGAGACAGCATTAAGTCTGGAGACAAACACAAGGTAGATCTATAAAAGGTAGACCCTTATATAGATTTCTCATTACTTGATGAAAGTAGTTGGCCTCTTTCTGTGTGGGGCCAGTGACTGCCTGCAATGAGCTCGATTTTCAATAGCACCTATGTGGTTGAGGAGTATATATCCAGGCACTGCAGTAAGCTTAGTACTTAGTCAAATGCAGGAGAGTCCAGATCTAGCCACTTGGAGCTTAAATCTTATTTATACAGTTATTTAAGTACGTACAAATGCCAGTGAGTGCATAATATGACTTTTTAAGTGCCTGTGTACCTTTCACCCTGTAATAGTAGTGGTAATTTGAATGTCTAGATTATTTTAAGGATTTGAGACAATTTAGAAAACTTACTAGAGAAGCTCTCCACTGCAGAGTCAGAGTACACATGTGTGAGTGTATTTGCACAAAAGCTAAATCTACTGCAGCTCAGATCTGTTGTTGTTTCCATCCACATCTTTGGATGCCAGCATTATGGCATACAAAGCTCTCAATTTCTTTAGCTGAATGACTAAGATGTGGGAAGTTGTTTTAATACTCTCCAGAAGAGAATTTGTCTATAGGCTCCAGTGACTTGTAGAACAAGCCTCCAGTGAGCTCAGAGTGTTATATCTATCCATACTGGGTATAGTACTGCTAGGAGGATACTGGGGTATAGAATGGAGTATAGAATTAATAGATAGTTCTCAAGGTTTTGGTGACGTTACTATATATATATACCATGTATATATTATGTAGTAATAGAGCTGATAAGCAATTCATGACAAACAGCAGCTTCAGACTGAGACAGATGTATTCTGAATTATCCCTTTTCTGTGAACACGCTGTCAAATCAGCTACTTGGAGCTGCACTTCCATGGGATCTCAGCATTCAAAGGATCCTGGCCTCTGCTCAGCATTTAGCATGGCTGCCTCCTCTTCAAATCAGTTTTCTGAGCCACTTTAATATTGTAATCTAAGTGCTATTTCCACTACAGAGGAAGAAGAGGAGCAATGGGGTCATGCTAGATAAAGCCTTAGACCAGGAGGCAGGGAAGTTGTTCTGTAATCCAATGATGAAAATCTTCTATTTTATACTAGGCAGTGAAACAGCTTTAGCAAGGGACAGTGCCACCAGGGAAGGCTTGTGCAGGATGGGGTATGGAAGATGTGCATTCATATCCCTATTCTGTTTCAAACACAGAGAAGATTTGAATATAGGTAAAAATTTGAACTACTAGCACGAGAAGCTCTCTAACATTTAGCATAGTGAATATAAAAACTCTACTTCATCCCAGAACTGGTACTTTTTTATATGTATATAACTTTCACCTTCGCTTCCAAAACTCTTTTGCTTTTGTTAAAAAGGACCAGAAACCAAAAGCTGTATTTTGAACAACTTACATGATTCTATATTGTTTGAGAGAAAGTAGGATTTGTCCAAACATACAATGTTTTCTCATAAATCAATATAAAGCATTTTCTTCTTTGTTTTTCACTTTCATCATAAAATGGAAAAATGGTATTTTTACCTGCCCCTGKTCTTGCTTTCCAACTTCTCCTCTAGATCGTTCATTCTTTTAAGCAAACACAGTTACCCACTTTCAAGGACAGTGCATGAAATCATGTGTCCAGGCATTTTAGGATAATCTGTCTTTCTGAAAAGTTGTCTTTTTTTTTCTTTTTTCTTTTCTTTTTTTTTTTTTAATCAATTTCCTAGCATAAGTAAGAGATTTTCTTGGAGCTCACTAGTTTATTTGCATGGAAATCAAGAACCCCAAGCAGAGGCTTCTGCNTTTTTTTTTTTTTTTTTAAATCAATTTCCTAGCATAAGTAAGAGATTTTCTTGGAGCTCACTAGTTTATTTGCATGGAAATCAAGAACCCCAAGCAGAGGCTTCTGCAGCTGCTCACCAGCACAGTTAAAAGGGTACAGAAATTATAGAAAGCAATTTCCTTGTTGCATTAATACTGCAAAAAAAAAAGTGTTTTTTAATGCATTTATGTGATGATTMTGCATAGAGGTATCTATCCACTGTGTCCAGTAGATCTCCAGCAAAGCAGGAGTCTGTAGCTGTTTGTTCCCGTGTAAGTTACTGTCTTTTCTGATGTACTGTTTTCTCTTTTACATTTGTAGTAACTTGTACATGAGGAAGCAGGAGATTTATTGGCTAAAAGAAAACAAAGGACCTTGCCAAGACACAGGTTACTATAGGGAATGCAAGGAAGATTCAGGTCAACAAACACTCCTCAATTCATAAATTACTCGTGTTAATACATGAAAGCACTTGAAAGAAGGCTTGGTAGTAGCCAACCTCTAACTGAAACMTGCAAGCTAGACTACTAGAATGTAATTCCCAGAAATTGTACCAGGATGTGCACCGTCTGGTCAGACATGCACCTCCCCAAGCATTAATGACCAGCGGAGCGCTGAAATGCCTGTCTTTGGGTCTCCATAAAATGGGAACTGGTAATAGAGAGGGTCGTACTGGGAAGGGGGGTCCCACACTGAAGGGGCAGCAAGAGAGGGGTGAGAAATCAGACACTTCCATGACACCTTTTGCTGTGGAATGAACTACCCTGGGGTTGGATTCTGCCTCCTCTTCCTTGTGGGAGAAGGAACAAGCAAGGAAAGAGAGATTTTCAAAATCCTATAGATGCCTTGCAAGCCAAAAAGGTACCATGATTTTGCTATATAACAGTATCTTATGATAGGAATTTTTTTTTTTTTTTGGTATCAATATTATGAAGGGTCCAACAGGTCTATATCTCTTATTCATTAATAGTGTTTTAAAAGCTTTTGGCTTCTCTTTTATACAAAGAAAT